ATGGCTTCTGGCCATTTTTGTTTGGCCAAACTGCCATCTGGTTTCCTAGAAGATCCTCCATGTTCGACGTTCGATGACTTTCCCAGCTGGAAAGCTCCATTTCTTCCCTGATTCTCCCGGCCGATGTTTACTGGTGAACTACATCCCATATCCCATACATCAGCATGATATGTCCTTATGTCCACTGAATTTAATAGATGTTCCCCATATTTCCCCTTTTTTTTCATGATTTTCCGCATGTTTTCCTAGGAAATTCCATCCCATCCCAGGATGCCCACGCAATTCCTGGGCTCGCCCCTGCTGGGCTCCCAGCGCCTCGCGCACACGGCCGGGGACTCGCCGCTCCGTGGCGCGGCCAAGTCGCAGAAGCTCCGGGTGCATGCGAAGTCGCAGAAGGCGCCGGCATCTCAAGGGGTGTTCATGTTACAACATGTTACAACTATAAAGCATGGAACATGAATTGTATTGTTCCATATATTGGGCATAATCATCCCACGTGACTAATATTTTTGCAGCCATAACTGGTTGGTGGTTTGGAACAGCCGCGGGCTCAACACCTTCCAGCTGGTGCGGCCGTCCCAGCTGAGCGTTGAGGGTTTCGTTTCTCGCTGTCGCCATGGCATTGACCATGGACATTGGTCAGGTGGATGCTGGTGGGGTGATTTCCCTGGTTTTGGTTGTGGTGGTCTTTGTTTCCTCCCTTGAAAGTCATTTGCTTCGGAACCGAGCAACTGGCAACCTGGTCAAGTACAGCGGATTGTTGGGAGGGGGTCCAGTGACACTGATTGATGCGGTGGTGGTGCGTCAGTTTCTGGCTCCTGCCATTACCAGTGGAGCCAGCACCAAGGTGCTCCATCATGTTGTGCCATCGTGGGCACACTTTGTCAAACTGATCGATGCTTGTAGTGGTTTGTCTCAGATGGATTGCCGATTTGTGGAAGTTTCCAACCTTCTGACCCAGCGAGTGAACTACCTCCATGCCCAGCTGTCATCTCAGGCTCAGCAGTTGCATGGACAGATCGAAACGCAGAATCATAGTACTCAAGCTATGTTGGAGACCCGGCTCTCTCACATTTGGGGTTTGTTGTCCATGCGTCTGAGAGAGGAAGGTGAATGGTGGGGTGGGCGCGAGCCATCTGGTTGGTGCAGTGTCAGGACTGCTCCTTTGTCTGTTTACTGGCCTATGGTGGCTCTGATGCCCGACTTTGTTTTCCTGATGGTGGGGTTAGCATCGGCACTGTCTTATGCGAGAGTATGGTCGTCTGCCAAAATGAAGATGGTTGTGCCTCTTGTGTTTTTCAGTGTTGTCAGGGTCGGGGAGGCATTTCCCCCGGGTCCTGTGTATGCCTTTTGTGATGCCAATTTTGTCTTGGAAACTGCCAACCCGTCGGGCCTCCAAAGCGATGCTGGTTGTGTTGTTGCGAACATGTCCCGAGGGGATGTTTGGGCCATGAGTGAGACACAACTTGGTTACCGGGAGTTGCAGTCGTTCATCTCCGGTCTCCGTTTTGTACAGTTGCCGTTCTGTGATTGCCGCCATGCCAAATTCGACGTGATGTCTCAGTACTGTAGGCCACAGAGCCACATGATATGTATGCATGCCAGCTGTATGGCGCACCCATTTTCGAATGAACGGTTGGAGAACGCTGACTGGTGGTTTCTCAAATTAGGTGCTGTTCCCATTAGACGGTCAACTAGGGTTTTGGATCACCTGCTTGTTCCGGTGTGACATTGTCAGCCACAGTCAAAGCACTGCTTTCGAGCAAAGTGGACAAAGTGGTGGTTTGGAACATGAATTTTATTTTCCCCAAGAGTTGGGATGATGATCCAATCTGACTTTCAAATTTTTCAGGGTGGTTGAAACCACCAACCATAATGATGTTTATACATTTATACATCTAAACGGTGTTAGTATAAGAATCACAAAGCAACCATATTAATGTTGATGTTGATTGTTGATGTATTTATATATGCCTTTTTACCACCCTAAAATACACCATTATACATCTAATAGCAAGAATAAACCATCCATATTTTGGTTCAAAAACCACCTGGATGACAAGGCCTATCATGTTAGTGCAATAGTCACAGACCCATATATGTTGATGGTATCCCTATCCAAGTACTGTACCTGGAGGGTTAAGTAGCTTCTCGGGCGTTTGGACCCTCATATGGTATGAATTATGATGTTAGTAGAGCAATCATGAACCAGCCATGTGTTGATGGTTCAAAAACCACCTACACCAATCTGGGATATGACAACACCAAACCATATTTTCAATCGATTGATTGGCGCGTTTCAATGGGTTGAAGTTGCGCTTGAGGGAACTAGAAACAAGCATTAAGCGTAAAGTATGGTTTAAGAAACCATAAGAAGCCAATGATTGCGTTTGTATGGGTTTCTCGTGCAAGTTTTCCCTGTATGTGGGTGACATTTGAAATTTGGAACTTCGCAAAAATGACGAAAGACTAGCTTTGGATGAGCTAGACCATCAACGTACCCATGCTCCAAGATTCGGTATATTTACGCACTTCTATGAGCACTTTGAGGGTCATGGACCCATGGCATCAGAAAAAAAAGGGGCAGAACTGGGCAGAATGGATGATCTTTGGACATACTGGATTATCCAAACGAAAATGACATAATATTCCGATACACCCTAATGGATGATAATCATAGTCGATCTTGATGAACTCTCCTCGGCAGCCCGCTGTTGGAATGCACGAGCAAAGATCGCCCTGGTGAGTTGAGCGAGCTCAGCAGGTCACCAAATTCAACATGGACATGGAGGATGACAACGAGGGATCAGCCCCACTTCCTCGGGGTCCAGTTGGAGGTCCCTCAGTGCAGAGTGGGACAGTGGTTAACGATGGTTAATGTGGTTTAGTGGATGTGCAGTCACAGTTTTAGGGGTTTTGAAGCCAAGATCTAACGCGGGTTTCTAACGGTTCATGTATGTTTATATAATTACATATATATATATATATACGTATATACATACATACATTACATACATATTTATATATATATATATACGTACATACATCCATCCATCCATCCATCCATCCATGCATACATACATACATACATACATACATACATACATACATACATATGTATATATATATATATATATATATACTATGTAGACTATGTAGACTATACATTTGATTTGATTTTTTATGATAGTTGTTTTCGTTTGGAACTGGATATTTACCATGGATATCAAACAAGACCAACTGGGATGCACATCCATGTGCCCCTCTCTCAGCTGGGAATGTTCTGTGCAGCTCAGCTGTTCCCCACAGCCAGTGATAGAATTTGGTCAAGTAATCAATTGGTTGAGAGAAAATGACAACGTATTCTAGAAGCTGGATAGGCAAATGCATAAGATCGGTGAATATCCTGCAAGCATGCTGCTGTGTCACGTGTATGATTTGATGAATCGACTGATTTAATTCTCATATGTAATTCATATGTTCTCATTCAAAGGGGCATCCAAAAAAAACATGTCTCACTGGCAGACTTCAGTAAAAAAGAAAGGACTGGGGTAAGGGATCTCGTTTGTTCCATTCAGGAATGTAAGAAGCAGGCGCAATCCTTGGAACCAGCGGGGTGGGACATGTAGGCCATGTTGGGCCAATATCTGTGTCTGGACACCCCACTTGAGGCCCGAAAGCAGGAAATGCGGGCCCTAGCAACCCGACCACATACACCATGGACGACGACGATGCCGTGAAAGCATCTGCTCCACTTCCTCGCAAGGGAGGCGCCTCAGCAGGAAAGGGGCATTTGTTTCTAGCTGGGTTTAAGTCATACAATTCCATTTGCAGGAGGCTGTCGAAGGCTTGTTTTCTTTGTAAGAATCGTATCACACTGGAGTAAACATTTTGGGCGGCTACTGTGTCATCCAACTCAAGCCGGTATTGGTTTGATGTGGAACTGTATGCAAATAATTGGACATAGTAGACAGTTTTTTTTGATGCTATGGGGTGCTACATCAACATAGATAAACTTTCAGTTATTCAGTCCCATATTTGGATATATTTGGTTATATTCTGGCGACCCAATATTTGCGTTTTTACTCTATTGTTCTATTAGCCTCTTGAGACCTGGTTGACAACGAAGAAGGGGCCCCAGCAAGCATTTCAAACATTGGGAACCGGGCTGCCTTGTGATTCTTCCCACAAAGGCTCATAAAGGAATGTCAACGACTGGTTGGGCCAATATCTGTGTCTGGCCAGTCCACTTGAGGCCCGAAAGCAGGAAATGCGGGCGCTGGCAACCCGACCACATACACCATGGACGACGACGATGCCGTGAAAGCATCAGCTCCACTTCCTCGCAAGGGAGGCGCCTCAGCAGGAAAGGGGCATTTGTTTCTAGCTGGGTTTAAGTTATACAATTCCATTTGCAGGAGGCTGTCGAAGACTTGTTTTTTATTGTGGGAATCGTATCACACTGGAGTAAACATTTTGGGCGACTACTGTGTTATCCAACTCAAGCCGGTATTGGTTTGATGTGGAACTGTATGCAAATAATTGGACATAGTAGACAGTTTTTTTTGATGCTATGGGGTGCTACATCAACATAGATAAACTTTCAGTTATTCAGTCCCATATATGATTATATACTGCATGGCGACCCAATATTTGCGTTTTTACTTTATTGTTCTATTAACCTCTTGAGACCTGGTTGACAACGAGGAAGGCGCCCACAGCAAGCATTTCAAACATTGGGAAGCGGGATACTCTGCGATGCTTCCCACAAAGGCTCATAAAGGAATGACAACGACTGGTTGGGCCAATATCTGTGTCTGGCCAGTCCACTTGAGGCCCGAAAGCAGGAAATGCGGGCGCTGGCAACCCGACCACATACACCATGGACGACGACGATGCCGTGAAAGCATCAGCTCCACTTCCTCGCAAGGGAGGCGCCTCAGCAGGAAAGGGGCATTTGTTTCTAGCAGGGTTCAAGTTATACAATTCCATTTAAAGGAGGTTGCCGAAGACTTGGTTTTTTTGTGGGAATCGTATCACACTGGAGTAAACATTTTTGGCGACTACTGTGTCATCCAACTCAAGCCGGTGTTGGTTTGATGTGGAACTGTATGCAAATAATTGGACATAGTAGACAGGTTTTTTGATGCTATGGGGTGCTACATCAACATAGATAAACTTTCAGTTATTCAGTCCCATATTTGGATATATTTGGTTATATTCTGGCGACCCAATATTTGCGTTTTTACTCTATTGTTCTATTAGCCTCTTGAGACCTGGTTGACAACGAAGAAGGGGCCCCAGCAAGCATTTCAAACATTGGGAACCGGGCTGCCTTGTGATTCTTCCCACAAAGGCTCATAAAGGAATGTCAATGACTGGTTGGGCCAATATCTGTGTCTGGCCAGTCCACTTGAGGCCCGAAAGCAGGAAATGCGGGCGCTGGCAACCCGACCACATACACCATGGATGACGACGATGCCGTTGAAGCATCAGCTCCACTTCCTCGCAAGGGAGGCGCCTCAGCAGGAAAGGGGCATTTGTTTCTAGCAGGGTTCAAGTTATACAATTCCATTTGCAGGAGGTTGTCGAAGACTTGTTTTTTATTGTGGGAATCGTATCACACTGGAGTAAACATTTTGGGCGACTACTGTGTCATCCAACTCAAGCCGGTATTGGTTTGATGTGGAACTGTATGCAAATAATTGGACATAGTAGACAGTTTTTTTGATGCTATGGGGTGCTACATCAACATAGATAAACTTTTCAGTTATTCAGTCCCATATTTGGATATATTTGGTTATATTCTGGCGACCCAATATTTGCGTTTTTACTCTATTGTTCTATTAGCCTCTTGAGACCTGGTTGGCAACGAAGAAGGGGCCCCAGCAAGCATTTCAAACATTGGGAACCGGGCTGCCTTGTGATTCTTCCCACAAAGGCTCATAAAGGAATGTCAACGACTGGTTGGGCCAATATCTGTGTCTGGCCAATCCACTTGAGGCCCGAAAGCAGGAAATGCGGGCGCTGGCAACCCGACCACATACACCATGGATGACGACGATGCCGTTGAAGCATCAGCTCCACTTTCTCGCAAGGGAGGCGTCCCGGCAGGAAAGGGACCTTGTTTTTTGGCAGATTTTGAGTTGATGACACTTGTAGCTGAAGGAAGCCATTGATGACTCCTCTGCGGGTATTGCATAACACACCTGACTGACGTGAATATGTTTCCTCCGCCAAAGAGAAATTCAACTGTAAGTGCATACTCACGATATTGTGCAGTACATCCGCCAAATGTTTGTCAGTCCCAGTCTGTTGTGAGTGCTTTAATACGATATAATATGTGTGTTTCCTTTGTGACTCTTGTATACTTTTGTGGCATTTCTGATCCATTTCTGGAGATGTTCTCTTTTCCTCATGTACCCGTATTTTTGCCGAAGCTTGAGACCTGCTTGACAACGAGGAAGGGGCCCACTTTCAAACACTGTGAAGCGGGCCAGCCTGTGATTCTTCCCACAAAGACTCATAATGGAATGCCAACGACTGGTAGGATCTTTGGGACCAGCGGGGTGACGCATGTAGGCCCCTGTTGGGCCAATATGTGTGTTTGGCCAGTCCACTTGAGGCCCGAAAGCAGGAAATGCGAGCGCTGGCAACCCGACCACATACACCATGGATGACGACGATGCCGTTGAAGCATCAGCTCCACTTTCTCGCAAGGGAGGCGTCCCGGCAGGAAAGGGACCTTGTTTTTTGGCAGATTTTGAGTTGATGACACTTGTAGCTGAAGGAAGCCATTGATGTCTCCTCTGTGGGGATTTCATAACACACCTGACTGACGTGCAGTACATTCACCAAATGTTTGTCAGTCCCAGTCCCATAATATGGTATAATTTGATATAATATTAATAATTTTGTTTCCTTTGTGACTCTTGTATACTTGTGTGGCATTTCTGATCCATTTCTGGAGATGTTCTCTTTTCCTCATGTACCCGTATTTTTGCCGAAGCTTGAGACCTGCTTGACAACGAGGAAGGGGCCCACTTTCAAACACTGTGAAGCGGGATACCCTGTGATTCTTCCCACAAAGGCTCTTAAAGGAAGAATGTCAACGACTGGTAGGATCTTTGGGACCAGCGGGGTGAGGCATGTAGGCCCCTGTTGGGCCAATATCTGTGTCTGGCCAGTCCACTTGAGGCCCGAAAGCAGGAAATGCGGGCGCTGGCAACCCGACCACATACACCATGGACGACGACGATGCCGTTGAAGCATCAGCTCCACTTCCTCGCAAGGGAGGCGCCCCAGCAGGAAAGGGATATTAGCTGCAGGAAGCTGTTGATGACTCCTTTGGGATTGCATCACACATCATCACACTGAGGTGAACGTGTTATAGTATGGTTCCTTTGGCAAAGAGAAATTAAACTGTGTCATCATAGTCAAACTGGGAATTGTTTTCCTGAAATGCATTTGCCAAAAGCTTATAGTGAGCTATATTTATACAGTCACCAATTGTCAGTCAGTCCCAACTGGTGCGAGTGCTGAATACAAATTTGTGTTTCCTTTATGACAGGTTTGATCCGTTTATGGCGGTTTTCTCTTTCCTTCTTTTCCCTTATCTGTCCTGTAGCTTGAGACCTGGTTGACAACGAAGAAGGGACCCACAGCAAGCATTTCAAACATTGGGAAGCGGGATACCCTGTGATTCTTCCCACAAAGGCTCTTAAAGGAAGAATGTCAACGACTGGTAGGATCTTAGGAACCAACGGGGTGGGGCATGTAGGCCATGTCGGGCCAATATCTGTGTCTGGACACCCCACTTGAGGCCCGAAAGCAGGAAATGCGGGCCCTAGCAACCCGACCACATACACCATGGACGACGACGATGCCGTTGAAGCATCAGCTCCACTTCCTCGCAAGGGAGGCGCCTCAGCGGGAATGGGGCATTTGTTTCTAGCTGGGTTTAGGTCATACAATTCCATTTGCAGGAGGCTGTCGAAGACTTGTTTTCTTTGTAAGAATCGTATCACACTGGAGTAAACATTTTGGGCGGCTACTGTGTCATCCAACTCAAGCCGGTATCGGTTTGATGTGGAACTATATGCAAATAATTGGACAACATAGATAAATGTGTTTGATGCTATGGGGTGCTACATCGGCATAGATTAACTTTCAGTCATTCAGTACATTTCAGTGCCATATTTGGTTATATTCTGGCGACCCAATTCTATTTGCCCTAGCTTAAGACCTGGTTGACAATGAAGAAGAGGCCCGCAGCAAGCATTTCAAACATTGGGAAGCGGGATACCCTGTGATTCTTCCCACAAAGGCTCAGAAAGGAATGTCAACGACTGGTAGGATCTTAGGAACTAACGGGGTGGGGCATGTTGGGCCAATATTTGTGTCTGGCCAGTCCACTTGAGGCCCGAAAGCAGGAAATGCGGGCGCTGGCAACCCGACCACATACACCATGGACGACGACGATGCCGTTGAAGCATCAGCTCCACTTCCTCGCAAGGGAGGCGCCTCAGCAGGAAAGGGATATTAGCTGCAGGAAGCTGTTGATGACTCCTTTGGGATTGCATCACAAATCATCACACTGAGGTGAACGAGTTATAGTATGGTTCCTTTGGCAAAGAGAAATTAAACCTTGTCATCATAGTCAAACTGGGAATTGTTTTCCTGCAATGCATTTGCCAATAGCCTACATAGTGAGCTATTTTTATACAGTCACCAATTGTCAGTCAGTCCCAACTGGTGCGAGTGCTGAATACAAAATTGTGTTTCCTTTCTGACAGGTTTGATCCGTTTATGGCGGTTTTCTCTTTCCTTCTTTTCCCTTATCTGTCCTGTAGCTCGAGACGTGGTTGACAACGAAGAAGGGACCCACAGCAAGCATTTCAAACATTGGGAAGCGGGATACCCTGTGATTCTTCCCACAAAGGCTCAGAAAGGAAGAATGTCAACGACTGGTAGGATCTTAGGAACTAACGGGGTGGGGCATGTTGGGCCAATATTTGTGTCTGGCCAGTCCACTTGAGGCCCGAAAGCAGGAAATGCGGGCGCTGGCAACCCGACCACATACACCATGGACGACGACGATGCCGTTGAAGCATCAGCTCCACTTCCTCGCAAGGGAGGCGCCTCAGCAGGAAAGGGATATTAGCTGCAGGAAGCTGTTGATGACTCCTTTGGGATTGCATCACACATCATCACACTGAGGTGAACGTGTTATAGTATGGTTCCTTTGGCAAAGTGAAATTAAACCGTGTCATCATAGTCAAACTGGGAATTGTTTTCCTGAAATGCATTTGCCAATAGCCTATAGTGAGCTATTTTTATACAGTCACCAATTGTCAGTCAGTCCCAACTGGTGCGAGTGCTGAATACAAATTTGTGTTTCCTTTATGACAGGTTTGATCCGTTTATGGCGGTTTTCTCTTTCCTTCTTTTCCCTTATCTGTCCTGTAGCTTGAGACCTGGTTGACAACGAAGAAGGGACCCACAGCAAGCATTTCAAACATTTCCCACAAAGGCTCATAAAGGAATGTCAACGACTGGTAGGATCTTAGGAACCAGCGGGGTGAGTTAAATTCAAGATGTGAAAAAATGCTGGTGGGGCATGTATGCCATGTCGGGCCAATATCTGTGTCTGGACACCCCACTTGAGGCCCGAAAGCAGGAAATGCGGGCCCTAGCAACCCGACCACATACACCATGGACGACGACGATGCCGTTGAAGCATCAGCTCCACTTTCTCGCAAGGGAGGCGCCTCAGCAGGAAAGGGATATTAGCTGCAGGAAGCTGTTGATGACTCCTTTGCAGGGATTACATCACACATCATCACACTGAGGTGAACGAGTTATAGTATGGTTCCTTTGGCAAAGAGAAATTAAACTGTGTCATCATAGTCAAACTGGGAATTGTTTTCCTGAAATGCATTTGCCAAAAGCCTATAGTGAGCATAGTGAGCTTTATAGCTATATGTATACAGTCACCAATTGTCAGTCAGTCCCAACTGGTGCGAGTGCTGAATACAAATTTGTGTTTCCTTTCTGACAGGTTTGATCCATTTCTGGCGGTTTTCTCTTTACTTCTTTTTCCTAGTTATCTGTCCTGTAGCTTGAGACCTGGTTGACAACAAAGATGGGGCCCACAGCAAGCATTTCAAACATTGGGAAGCGGGATTACCCTGTGATTCTTCCCACAAAGGCTCAGAAAGGAATGTCAACGACTGGTAGGATCTTAGGAACTAACGGGGTGGGGCATGTTGGGCCAATATTTGTGTCTGGCCAGTCCACTTGAGGCCCGAAAGCAGGAAATGCGAGCGCTGGCAACCCGACCACATACACCATGGACGACGACGATGCCGTTGAAGCATCAGCTCCACTTCCTCGCAAGGGAGGCGCCTCAGCAGGAAAGGGATATTAGCTGCAGGAAGCTGTTGATGACTCCTTTGGGATTGCATCACAAATCATCACACTGAGGTGAACGTGTTATAGTATGGTTCCTTTGGCAAAGAGAAATTAAACCGTGTCATCATAGTCAAACTGGGAATTGTTTTCCTGTGTTGAGTTGCTTAGATATAGCGTTTTAGGGTGCAACAAGTGTTTTGCACCTATGGTCAATGCAAGAGAGGATGGGTAACCCTCAGCAGTGGGTCAAAAACACTTCTTGGAATCTATTACCAGGAAAACCGTGTATGCCAGAAATTGCAGTCCGCCCAGCCGCTAAAGAACCATTTTCCAGCTCATCCCAACATTTGTGAACCTTACTTTGGCAAAGAAAATTGTCCGCCAAACGCTTCAGTGATGTTCAGTGAATCTGGGTTTGTTTCCAGTAACTTTAGCTGTTTCTTCAGTCGTGTTAGTGATTTCAAAGTCTATTTCAAAGCCTAATTGTTATTGATCCACATCACTGACAAATCACTGCCATACCTATGGCCCAGCAAAATCACTCTCACACGCCGTCGGAAAGCTTAAAATGCTTTCGGAGGTCTCCTTGGCATCAGCACTGAAACATTGGAGAATTAGTCAAGTTAAGATTCAAGTTTAGGAATACATTTTCAGTCTAATTATGCAGACCAGCCCAAAATTCAAACAATATTCACATTCTATTTCGGTGTTTGGATTGATTGTGACAAGGAAAATCTAGACAAATTAAATCTAAACAATAAAAAACATAAAACAAAAAACTGTTGACCGTATGCAGGGACCTTGTCCTTCTTCAGCCTTGTCAGCCTTGCGCTTCTTGTCCTTCTTATCTTTTGCTTTCTCGTGTCCCTTCTCCTTGGCAACCTTGGCTTCCTTTGGCTCCTTGATCTTGGGATCCTTTTTCACCTTCTTCACTTGAGTCGGCTTCGTCGAACTGTCTGCTGTTGCATCCTCCTGACATGTCTCAGCATTGGACGCCACGGATACTTTGTCAGCCTGGTCAATCTCATCAACCAGTGCCTGCTCCGCATCCGTAGCATGATTGCCAAACAATTCTGTCCCTTTTGGCTCCTCTGTGATTTTCTCATTCTCCGCCTCCTTCGCGTCCTTCTTGTCCTTCTCATCCTGCTTCTTGGCCTCCAGCTCCGTGTCAATCTTCTCCGTCAGCTCGCCGGCTGCGGCTGGGACTGTTTCAGGAACCTCAACAGGGACTGCTGCAGGAACCTCAACAGGGACTGTTGCAGGAACCTCAACAGGGACTGTTGCAGGAACCTCAACAGGGACTGTTTCAGGAACCTTCTCCGCAGCTGGGGCCGCTTGTACATCTTCAATGGCTCCAAGTTGGCCGGGTGTTGCAGCAGGGGCTTTCTGCTGCTGCCCACCTGCCACATCCTCAAATGATGGCATTGCATTTTGGAGAATAGTCTCAACATCCATCTTGGGAAGAAGCGTAGCAAGAAACTCAGCAGCGGGACTGGCGTTGTGCTGAACCTCCGCAACGCAAAACAACAATGGAAGCATGATTCATGCCCAGTTCCCAGTGCCAAATACCAATCCCGTGCCTGCTCCATAACCAGATGGTAAGATGCCAACAACTCTTCTGTAAAGTAAAGCGCATTGCACCTGCCAACAACACAATGCCATTAATTGCAATACAAAATCTACCATTGAGAACATGTTTCCTGCCTGATGCTCACCGAGCACTCTGTGAGAGTTTTTTCCGCCACCACGAAACCCATTGGCAACCACAAATAGTCACCGGTTTTGACGAAACCAGCAACAAGGCTTGGCATTTCTTGGTTCACAGCAAGATGTGAAATTTCACTGGTCAACTCACAGAAAATAAAGCTAACAAATGCATGACTACGCCTACACAAAATGAATGCGCTCCAAGTTGCCATCTGGTTTCGGCAGCGAACTGGCTGACAAACACTGGAAGTGCTCTTTGATGTCCGCCAGCGAATCCGTTTGCCAGTGTTTCACACAGTCCAGGAAGCTGGCTGCAATGATCAGTTTTGATCCCTTCACCTGATGCGCTGTATGACCAATGACCACTGACCAATGACTAATGACTCAAAACCCTGCACTGCCCTGCCATGCCCTGCCTGCAAACGCAACGTTGGGATGCTGAAGTTGTCTAACCCAACATACACTGAACCAAACTTAGAGCCACACATGCTGAGGGCAAGCAATTGTGTTGCACCAAGCTGAGTGTCTGCGTCGGTGTGCGTGTTGATCAGCTCCTCGTCGACACCTGGCTCTGCCCAATGACTCGGAATTTCTTTCATGAAATTGGAGAACACTTCATTGATTGCATTCGCTGCAGTGGCATCCTCAGAGCCATCTGCTCCCTTGCTTCTGAGATTTGACCTTAGTATCACTGTAGTGTTCTTACAGCAAATCCAGTTCATCAATCATTAACAAAAATGCCGGCAACATGACAAACATGACACAATAACATAACAACCTAAAGCATCTGAAGTCAGAGTCAAAGAAACGACGATCTCAACATGGTCTTCTTGTTCACTTGGTTCTCAAAGGCATCCACCATTGATGACATGAACGGTTTGGACTTCCCTGTCAAAGTAGCAAATGTGTTTCTGCCCCTTCTGACAATAGCCGCGACGTTGATGTCATCCGGCATTTGTTTCTCGGTGTACATGGGCCGGTGCTGGTTGTAGAGCCTTAGTAAACAAAGCACGTTGTTTGACTGCCTGATGGTATGACAAAACTATTGCTGGACACTTGACCAAAACAAGCCGGGCTAAGCCGGGTGCAGGCTAGGTACTTCCAATTCCTCAGAATTTCCGGATCAGATGCCGACAACGAACTCAGATTTGGTCTGCCAGCAAGTCCACCATGCGTACTCTTTTGCTGCTCACCGGTCTTGGTCTTCTCCAACTGATCTTGGTAGCGCTTTCGTGCTTTAGACACGGACTTGATCATCTGCTGTGCATCCTGTCCAAGTGCAATAAGTAATTACGATCCAATCCAATGCCAATCCAAGCAACAGGTACACGAGAAACAATATTCTGGAAAATTTGTGTTTTGAACCCCATTGATTCAAAGTCCAAAAGGCCCGAAAGGGACGACACCAACACCCTCAATGTTGATGCTGCCATGCCATGCAATGTTAGTTACAAGTTACAAAACAATCAAACAATCAATCACAATCAGAACCGTCCGTCCCGCACCCGTAAAATCAAGAGTGTCTTTTCAATGAACCCATGCCCCGGCCCGGCTCCAGCAATGCATGAATGAACATGAATGAACATGAATGAACTACTGCGGTCCCGCCTTCATGGAACGCCGCATAGCCCCAATCAACGTCTTCACGTCAGTCAACGTACCCTGAAGATCAGCTTCAATCTCAGCTATTTTGTCAGCGTCTTCGGCACATTCCAAAGCATCAGTGTTGATGCCGATCAACATCTTGAGCTTGGGCATCTTTTCCTCCAAGTAAGGATCCTTCTTCAGGCAATCGCACAAGAGCGCCCTGGATTTGTCTGGATCCCGAAGCAAATCTTCTTCGGATTGTCCGTCTTCTCTGTTGAAGTACTTGGTCGCAATGACTTTGGAACCAACCGCAACCAACAGCAACAAATTCCACCGCTCAATGATAGTGTACATCAACTTGACGGCGCTGATGTCATCACCAACATCATCCTGTTCCGCAAGATTTGACTCAGCGATGCCTGACTGTCAGACTGAGGTTTTTACACAGTCCTTTAAACTGAACCATCAAAATAATGATAAGATTACAAACATGACAAAAATAGAAAGCCCAACAGATCAATTAGAGTAGGAGTAGGTATGCTTACAAGATTACAATCAAATCTTTGCCAAGATACCCATTTGGTGCAAATCACAGGCCTTCTTGAAGACTGGGCCAACATCTGACTCTTCCTGACGCCATGCAGCAAACTTCGAAGCAAGATCTTGCAAATTTGCTTTCACAAAGGAGGTGCCGCTAACCACCTTGCTTGCAGCCCGAAGTCTGAGGACAGCCACATCCTGGTTCTTTTTCTTTGGTTTCGTCGTCGCCTTTTTCTTCTTCCTGCGTTGGAGCTCTTAAATGTGTATCTAACTGTAAGCCTTGCAAATTTGCAGCAGCTTACAGCAGCTCAGCAGCGCATCAAGAATCATATCAAAATTTCAAAAATCAAAAATGAAAAAGCAATATAAATTTGAGATTTATAATGTAGTAGTAGTACTTTAAACTTTAAACACTTATATTCAAGCTAAAACTAAATAACCTAAAAATAACCTTAAACCTTAAACCAATTAATCCATATGAATCCAAATTCCAACATCCAAAACCATCCAAACCAAACCACAACCAAACTATTACACAAACAGAATCAAATTTAATCAAATTGACCGCCTCTGGCCCGGCCTCGACTCAACAGCATCGGGATCCAAGTCCATGTCATCTTTATCGACCGTCATCTTGCCAAGGAAATCCATCGCCGATGTCTTAGTTAGTTTATGGATGCTTTACATTTAAGAAAGACAGACTGACTGAAGTAACGCAAAACAAATTAAATTAGTGGCCGGTATTTGTTATTATTCATGATGCTGCTGGAGTAAAAAGAGCCACCACACCACATAAAAATCACAGTCAAATCAATCACTGGTCAAAAATCAAAAAACCAGGCCAAGCAACTGCAAAGAACTCGTCGTCCGCTGACATCGAAAGGAAGTTGATGGCCGCTGCTTTTGAATTTTCGATGGCCTTCTGGCTGGCGTTGTTGCGAACCACCTGGACAGATGATAGTCGTTTCTCTGCGGCGATCTGCTCCTTGGTTGCCACTGTCCTTATATCAACGTAAAGGGCATCCTGCTCTTCGTACTCACCAGTCTTCCGATTGAGATACTGCCGTTTGGTTTTCTCGATCGCAGGGTTGAGCATGTCCCGATGCCAAGCAATGCGGCACTCAGCCTCAGTGAGCTGCATGCACGGCGGCACTTGGGTCATAAAGTGCCAGCTGTACCACGCGAAGTTGAACAAGGAAAATTCCTCACCTAGCTTTTTCTGCTTGGTGGACTCGGTAATCTCGCTTTCAATCAAAGAACGAACGTTCCTCAGTGGTTACATTGTCACCCTGACTGTGGTGTATCGGCAGCTACGAACGAGCAAGCTAGACTATGTCTGGTCTGTCTGACTGTCTGTCTGTCTAGTCTGAGTCTGAGTCTGCCACTAGACAGACTTAACTTATAAATACCCCATCGGTTTTAAATGATGACTAGTTTCATCGTTGACTTTTGACCTCGGCCTCCACGGCGTTGGTCGTGGGTGGCTTCACGAAAACCCTTGAAGACCTTCCGGTACTGCACCGGGTCTGACACTTGAAGGCGCTTTAGCCATGCAGCCGTAGAGTCCTCATCATCAACAACAACGACAACAAGAGCAACAGCAACAACAACTTCATGGCAACATCAATATACAGTAAAAAGAATGGTCCTTGCCATGACTGACATGACTGATGCCTCATGACATGACATGGTGACATTGCATTGAAGTCCTTTGGTTAGTCTGGTCTGCCGTTTAATTGTGTTTCCTATTTCCGGTCCGTTCCTTGTTTCCCTAGAATGATGTAATGGCAACAAAACTGGAATGGATAATGCTTCCCAGTAACTCCTGTTGTGCCATCGTCGGCTGATCCACCAGATCCACCAGAGCCCTCTGCTGCATCTGCTTGAGATTTGTCAGATGCCCGTATGATATTACGAAGCTCCAGGGAACAACGCGGACAGTGTCCAAAGAACTTGGTGCCTCAGCGTCAGAGCCACTGCTTATATTACAGTAGCTGTAAACCGGTTTCAATCATTCAGCCAGCATTGAAACACTCGTCCTGGAAAAGCCCATTAAAAAACATATGACATCTGGTGAACTGCCCCGATCCCCACACAAACAGCAAGAGACAACTCTTGCTTTTGAAGTCATCCGGCTTGAAGTGCTCTTCACACGCAACACATATGGAAGGCTCTACAAATCCTCCAGCAGCAACCAAACAGTCAAACAAACCAGAATTTCCAGCGTGCAATTTTGATTTTCAATTTCAATGCACACATGCAGCCATTTTGTTTTGGATTCTTTGTCCCCATTTGCCTGTTCCCTTACTGCCGGGCTTTGATTGAGCTTCGTTGGCCGCGTCTTCAGCTTCCACGAGCGACATGGCAGGGTGGCACTGCACTGACACAAAGCAAAACCCAGCAAACCCCTAATGCCGAGCTGCGTCAATGATCTATATGCCCAAAGCTTGAGCACACGTGCCACTGCAGCCCGTGCTTAACTTCAACAATTCAACAAACTTCAAGTCAATGGTGTCCACTGTCCTTTGTCCGTGTTTTTGTCTTCAGAATCCATCATGCAATCATCAGCGTCATCAACCAAATCCATTGCCAATAACGAAACAGCCAACCAGCAGCTAATAAATTTGTTTTGACTCGACAATGTCTTTGTAAACGTGAGGATCGAGGCAGTGGCAGCATGGTGTGTGCAGCCATGTTGGCAGTTGGTTAGTTGAGTTGTCAATCCGTTACACTCACACTTAGTGGCAACTGGTCATCAATGGAACTGGCTGCACTGCTACGCTGCTTCCAACATAGCAGACACAAACGCAAAAAAGGCACACCAGCACGGCTGGTTAAACGAATTGCCCGCTAACCGCCGCATAGCCGAAGGCGACAGCACATGCGCCGAGAATGGCGGAACACCGTCTTTCAAGCCAGCAGCCGCCACTGAGTCCGGAAGCAATGGCACTCCCTGCATCTCCAATAGCTCCTGTAAATTGCGCAGGTTGTTTCAAGTGTCACATGTCTTGACATGTCATGTCAGAGCACGACAAATTGTTAGCTAAACTCACCTGTTAGTTAAGTTAACAAACACGACTCAACACAATCAATTCCAAAATTTGAAATCAAAGACGTCAAAATCAGATCAGCCAGTCAGTAGACAGTGTCAGTCAGTCAGTCTGTCAGTCAGCCAGCCAAACACGTTGGTTTGAAATATATGAGTCACACGCTCCTTCGGAGTGAATGGTCGTCCTTCCTTTACCGCCCACATACAATGCAGACTCGCCAACAGCACCGGACAATATATTCCGAAATGCTCCTGGCACAACACAGATGATGACAAACTCAGACAGTCAGAGTCACAGTCACAGCACTGCATCACTGAGGACTGACTGACTGACTGACTGACTGACTGAAAATGTCAAAGAATCAAGACATGCAAAGATTAATCGGTGATTTTATTCCATTGTTTGTTTGAAAAATCAGATCCCAGCCCGGCCTGGAAGCACACATTTTGATCTAAATTGATCGCCACTTCATGGCGGGTCTCCATCAGCTCTTTCATGCGCTGCAAACGCAAGGCTGTGTCCAAATTGACCCCAGCTGCAACCGGTAGCAAATCTTTGAAGCGCAACATGCTAGATTTCTTTGCCTGGGCGCCGGTGCCAAATCACAGCCGGTACTAATATGCAAATTACATTTTCGTATAGGTTTTCGGGGCGTGGTAGTGTGGGCAATGGCAATGGGCAATGAGTGAGTGAATGACGCGAAGTCCGTGAAGTTGAGTCAGTGAGGTCAGTCAGTTAGTCAGTTCGTTACTTGGTTGGTTACTTAGTTAATTGGTTAATTAACTATTTAGTCAGTTAGTCAGTCCGTCAGTCAGTCAGTCAGTTAGTTAGATAGTTAGTTAGTTAGTTAGTTAGTTAGTTAATTAGCTAGCTAGTTAGTTAGTTAGTTAGTTAGCTAGTTAGTTCTTAAAAAAACAAAAAACTAAACTTGCTTTTGACGCTTAACAGTTTGGCTACACGCATACAGAAAAGAAAAGTTGGATTCTCGGCTCGGCTTCTCTTCATCGAGACAACATGGATTGGGTCAGGTGCATCAACTGTGTTTGTAAGTCAACATGTTGACTGTTTGTCCAGGGAAGGATCAGAACCGAAAAACAAATCTAGACATGCAACAAGTCATCCAAGGGAAGTCAAAGTCAAATTACATTGCAAGCGAAAACAATTTAGCTGAGACACATTGTCGGCCATGGTTTTGCGAAGCGCTTCCACCTTCAATCAATGCAACTATGCCAAATGCGTCACGTACGCACCCCCGCCATGCTCATGTGTCATGTATCATGTGTGCATCCCCCCGCCTCTTTCTCTGAGTCTGCCAAAAACACTCCTGCATCCAGTGTGGGCCCTGGCGAGATGAAGAGGCGATAGATCTCGGATAGCCCAACTTTCATTTCCAAAGATGGATGCACAATGGCCGTGTATGATCTCCCCCGTTGCACTGGCCATCCATAGTCCAATGGCTTCGTGAGCATGTGATGCACTTTGTAGCCGGGGAACATGTCCTTGTCAGACTGTTGAGAGCCTGTGAGAGCTGGCGGCCGCAGCTCCGGTCGCCTGCATTCTGCAACGTCATTGTCCTCATCGTTTGACTCAGATTTTTCTTCATCTTCTTCATTGCAGAAGATTTCCCATTTAAAGTTCTTGGTGCACTCGTGTAGAATGAGTTTGGGACGCAGCCGGCGGCAAAGTGCAATGAAAATGGCAAAGGGTAGAACAGATGTCCCCAAGAACCCTTTGCGAGTTCCCATTGAACTCCTGTCAGGGGTTAGGAGTCAGGTCAAGTGTTAAAAGCATGGATAAATGAAACGCTCCGACACTGCCCAGTCACAGTCCAGTCTGTGCAAGTAGAACCTGCTGCCAGTACCAAAAATGGGAGCGCAGCCAGTTCATTCATGGAAACCTCAGCAAACCGCACCGGCCACCCAGCCGGCCGGCTCGGAACATGTTGAGATTTTTTGTTTCTCTCTCTCTCTCTCTCCCTCCCTCTCTCTCTATCTCTCTCTCTCTGTCTCTCTTCTCTTTCTCTTTGTCTTTGATCCAAAATCAGACCATGTAGCAAAGTACTACTGAGAACTACCTAAACAATAAAAAACAACAACCAAACTTTATCAGGAAACTATGTTGTCTGTCTCGCAAACGCCGCCATACTTGAGGTTCTCAGCAAACACACCATCCTTCAGAAGCTGAAGACTCTCCATGCATTTCACAAGGTCCATGACCAACTTCTGAGACGACGCTTCAAGCTTGTACTTGGCGGAATCCTTTTTTTCTCCCATACCATCCTTCTTCTTGTTGTTCTTCTTGGTGTCACGCATCTTGAAAAGCATCTCACACTCTTGTTGGGCTGACTGAATGATTTCCTGTAGTTTCTGCACAGCACCCGGCTTCAGAAAGTCTTCAATGCTGGCCACAAGGTACTTTGGCGGGTCCTTGGTGAGTGTCAATAGAATTCAGGTGTAGGTGTCGGTGTCAAGCTGTAAGACCAGTGCTCTCTTTTCTGTCGTTTGTCCTAGAAATCGAACTTATAACCATAACCGCAGTGCAATGATACACCATGGTATAAACCCAGTTCAGAAATGACAGAAACAACAAACAAGTCCATCAATCAATCAATCAACCAACCAACCAACCAATCCAGCAACCGTTATTGATTCATGACCAAAGAAACTCTGATCGGAAGAACGAGGAACATTCAATATCCTGAGATACTATGTGCCACCAGGGAACAATGTGGCTGCGCAGAACCTTCTGACAATCCACATTGTAGTCACAAGCCAATTCCATTTGTGGAGCCCCTTCAGCAAAATGCGAAATCTGGCCCAGGACAGCTGACTTATCTTTCATGGCTTTCAGTGCAGTGTGAATCAATCCCGCACTGATTTCCGCGCCCCCAAGCCCGGAGTAGAGTGACATGATTGACATCTTGGCCATGTTGTCAGAGAGCCGCACAAGGCTATCCACACCAAAGTATGTCTGCAACCTTTGAAGATGCCTCTCTGCAAAACCAAACATCTCTTCTCGAGTGCGTACCTGTTCAGGATGAATGCTGCTGTGCGAAGCACCCGAGGGACATGTTCCATCTCCGTCATCTTGAACAGATTCGCACATACTCTGGATGTGTTGGCTGAACTGCTCTTCTGAACTGTCAGACTCCGTGCTGGATGATGACGAAGAGCTGCCACTCGAAGGGCCGGTTTCTGCATCGGTATTCGGCGTCTCAAGCTTTTGCTTTACCATGTCCTTTGACTTCTCCTCTTGTTCCGCAAGTGCCGACGCCTTTGTCCTGGCACGTCTTGTGGGTGGTGCAACCACATCTAAACCAGCATCCAATCCAGCTTGGTCACCGCCTGGCTCGGGCATGGCGTCCATGGTAACTCCTTTCTTTGGTCGACCTCTCTGCTTCACCGATGTGGCCTTAGCCTTTGCTTTTGCAGCTGCTTCCTTCGCTTGTTTCTTCACAAAACGTTCCCTGGGCTTTTCTACTTCGTTGTACCCCATGGTCTCTACAATGCTTGCTTGATCCTGGTCTGGTTCGGTATCAAAGGCATTGACGTCAGCATCAGCGGCTTTCCTTTTTGAGGATCTCTTGGCTGTGGCCTTTGCTTTGGCGGCCTTTGCTGCCTTCGCCCTGGTCTTGGCTTTCGCCTTGGCTTGGGACTTCCCTTTTGGCCTCATTGAAGGACGCTTTGCTACCTTGGCAGTGCCCTTGGAAGCAGGACGTTTCATCAAAACTGGCGGCTCTACTGCTTCGTCTTCCTCTGGATCACTATCATGTTTCTGTTCTTCTTCTGATTCTTCTTCCGGGGCGGTCGCAAAACCTAAGACCACAGCGCAAACCACAATGCTCACACACATGTATCATGTACTTGCCAATGCGAATCATCAGCGATCAGCCATCAGCAAAACCAAAAAGTCAAAAAGTATTTTAACCATCAACCGTCCGTCAACCATCTGAACATCTGACCCCAATTGTACAACATTTACTTACCAGTTACAAATTTCAGTCCAAGAAGCTGGCTGAGTGCTGCCCAGTAAATGCAGACATGGCAACGCCGCAGGAAGCGAAGCGACGTCAGAAAGTCGCAATGCAATACAATGCCAGTTGTCAGTGCAATCAGCTTTGATTTTTTCTTCAATATTACCACATCATTCTGAATACTGCTACCCAACCGTTTTGCTTGGGTACCTCACTGTCACTGTGACTGAACTAAAAAACTAAGACTAAGCCCATGAACTTCGGCGTACAAATGCTGTTGAGAATCAATCTGAGTCTGACCACTGAGAACTGACAACGGACAAGTCACTTGACAAGTGGCTTCAACTTCAACTTCAACTTTATTGCTAACATTTGCTAACTCGACTATTTTTGCCAAGAATTTTCTTCCGTATATGTTTGCTAGATGGCTAGACGACTTCCTCCAGACTTCCATGTCATGTCAACTTCACTTTGGTGTCCAAGCGCACATTTTTCTGCGCACTGGCTGACCGCCCAGTTCTGTGACTTGGGTTGTTTAGGGTCACATTCGACGCCCTTTGGCGGGTGGGATGATAGCGCCAGTGCTACGGGCGGTTTTGCCTTTGGCTTTGCCACCTTTGCCACTGGCAAATACAGGTCGATTGTGATCGGTGGGAGGAGTCGGAGGAGTAATCCTCAATCAACTTATCAGCCAAGTAAATTCACACTCAATCACATTCAATACCGATGTAAACATCCAAATCTGAAACAGCAGCAAAAACAGCAACAACGCCGTCGCAATACAACCATAGAACCACAGCACTAACTGAAACCGAGCGGCGGTCGCTTTTTCGGAGCCCTTGCAGCCTCTGCAACTTCTTCACCACCATCTGGGTTACGGATACGGTATAGTTCCTGCCAACTGTTTGAAGGACTCACGGAGTGCTTGGCCTTCGCTTGTGGTATCATCACCTAAGATTCCAGGTGATACAAAAATCAACACTATCACCCAACAACAAAACGTTAACATCAGTGAACTGCTATTGTACGAGCCGGGTCACAGTGCAAGTCGCTGTTGGCAATGGAGGCGGAAAACTGTCATCATCACTTGCTTCCACCGGAACTGTGAGCATCTCTTCGAACGACCTCCAGTCTTCTGTCTCTTCAGTCTTGTCATCACTGTCCTCATCAGCTTTGTTCCAGTCATTCACGTCCTCATGATGGTTCGCCGCATCTGCAATGGCGTGGTTT